CAGATTACTGTCATTTTGTTCGTGTCAGTCACTGTACAATTTGCTTCAGTGTTATAAAAGTAGCTTTATAATGCTGAAAAGCATGGAGGAACATTAATCTCTGCCTTGATCCTCCTCTGCTTATTATTGGTTTCTATTTTAAAAATAGTCTGTCTACAGGAAGGAACAACTCTAATTCTTTTTCAACACTATAAAGATTTTGCGTGTGTGCATTTACTGTGTAAACAACACAATTTGTGGTGTCTTTCCTGTAAAGAAAGGTGTTGCGAGAAATACATTGTCACAAGTAAGTCTGAACCAGAAAGTTTTAAAAAGTTCTGAGGCAAACTCTTGAGGTCCTTTGAGGATTTTCATAACAGCCATTCCCCAGCTATGCTAATATGACTTCATTTGTGAGTTTCCATTACTATTTGGAGTATGTTATCAGTAGGAGAATTTGCACTGAAATGTACTGCTGCTGCTGAAATTTAAGATTTATACAAGCCACTTTGAAGATAGGCTAATACTGAGTGTTTTGAAGTAGTTTTCTTTGTGGCATGCTGTCTCTCAAGTTTTGAAATGAAAATATAAAAGTGAAATTCAAAACATATATTAGACCTGTGTGCTCTGATTAAAGCCATGTTTTATTTTATAGATCTCATTCTTACATACTCCTCCGTAGTACTTTCTTCTCAGTTTTATATTGTAACTACCAGCCATCTTGTTGGTAGTTTTGCTTTGTATTTTGTTTTTCCTGGCAGCTCTGAAGGTTTTATTATTGATTTTACTGGTTTTGACATCACACAACTACAGTACTCTTCAGCAGTTTTGATATTTCACAGCTTTTGTTTGTCTCTTTAAATAATCCAAACTGATGAGAATCATGGTTTGTACAAACCTTGAGCAAGGAGACAAAAATTGTACTGTGAGCAGTTAGACAGTCAGGACACATGGATCTGCTTCCTTTACAGCTATCTGGTCATTGGTGCTTTTTTAAGGGAACAGATGAACTTTTCTTTTGAATTTGTTTTTTTTCAGGCTTGACCTCTCTTACTGTTCCCTTCAGATGTGTAGGAGAATGAAGGAATGTGGTTTTGAAGCATGAGAACTCTATTAGAAAGGTTCCACTGATAATGATAACTGTTGAATACTTCCAGCATTTTTCACATTTGCAGCATGTTGTAAAGTGCATTCTAATCCTTGAGATATTCATTGACTGTAGTAACTTTAGCTTCATTTCTTTTAATAAAATGCTTCATGACTATGCCTTGATAAAAGCCAATGTCATACTTAGTGGGAGATTTTGGTCGTGTATTCCTATGTTTCTTCGTATTCAAAATTATTAGTATGGTCTTGTTTTGAAATTTGTGCAAAATAACAGTTCTTTTGGATTTATTTTTTTTAGCAAGCCAAATTGTCAGTGCAGCTGAGTGTAGCCAAGTACTGTGCCTTCTTGAGGTGTTCATTAGTAGTATCTTATATCAGCAATGTCGTAAATTTGAATAACAACTGAATGGAAGTGGAAATTATACTGAATGAATTTACAAATATAGCACTCATATTATTATGAACTGGAGATAATATAGCCATGGCATAAGGAAATTTTCTGTTAATCAAAATAGCATAAGTATTAAAGCATGTTTAATAAATATTAGCAAGACAAGCAATTTCAATTATAGTCACTCTAGAAAACAAAAGCTAGAGGTACTATCTTAGTTTACTGCACCTGCTTTGGATTGATTGCTCATCCTTTGAGCAGCAAATATTCCCATTGTTTTCCATAGTTCAGTTCTAGTAATCCTGTGATTTGTTTTCAGCAATAGCAGGTAAATTAGTAAATGTCAAGGTGTATGTATTTATGGACTGAAAGCATTTTGTTGAGTATTGGGGGTCTGGTACCAGTTTACGCAGTTGTGAGAAACACTGGAATTGACTGTCTCTTGTGAAACTTTAGGAAATATTCTGTATATCTGAACATAGTTGTGTTTATACTGCAGAGCACTGTAGGCTAGATGCCCTTTGCAGGAGAAGGTTCATTATCAAAAATCTAGTTTCAGGCTACAACTCGTATTTCTGTCTAATTTTTATGAATATGTAAGAAAGTTGCAAAAAAAAAAATGTATTTCATTTTGTTGGCAGCAGTTTCGAAGCCAAGAGAAAAGAATAGCTGGAAAAACTTCTTGAGCACAGGAGCCAGCACCCACACTAGTGTTCAGGAATGTGTATGGTATTGGCAAGTCATGTTTTCCTGCTGGCAGACAATTACGTTGGAGCTCTAATATGATTTCCTCTTATCAGGCTTGTCACTGCAAGGACGTTTTAAAATCACAGATTAATTTACTGTTTTTCTTGAGAGTCTCCCTGAATTTTA